GGATATATCGTATCGTGACCCCTCTGTCATGATATGTATCGTATCACCAAATTCTTGCCAATACACAGCCCTAGTATCACTTTGAGGTACTTTATACAACACTGATGTCAACATATCTTCACCCAAAACTTAAGTTTTATAACTCTACTGGTGCTGTTATTCTGAGAGATTAAAATTCCATGAGTTACTTTATCAGGTCTAGATTTTTGTTTTTAATCAGTTCTTTTAATTTTGTAATGATTATTTTCTGCTGCTTTATTTTTAGTTCTTCTATGCAATCTCAAGTAGCAAGTCTTCCAACGTCATTGTGCTAGTTCTGGCTCAGATCATGGTGAGTGTTTCTCTTCATGGTTATGTCTAAACTTTAGTGAAATCTAAAAATAACAGTTCTTTGTGTGTCTCCATCGAATAGGGGATGTATTTTGTTTCGTCTGTCCTTCTGATGCGCATGAGCATGCCTCTGGAGTATCGCTCCATTGTGACGGAGGTTCTCGGCGAACTGCAGTTCAACTTCTACCACCGCTGGTTTGACGTCATCTTCTTGGTCAGCGCCCTGTCCAGCATCCTCTTCCTTTACCTGGCCCACAAGCAGGCACCAGAGAAACACATGGCCCTCTGATCCCCTGCAGCTCGCCTCCTCGCTCACAGAACAAACTCCAGAAGCAAGAGCTGATTTCTTTTTGTTTTAATCTGTGAATTTTGAGGTATCCTGATGCAGGAATGGCAGATGTTTGGTTGCAACATTTGGAGAGCTGTTGGAGCGCAAGAAACAAACAAACAAACAAACAAAAAACTGCCCAGCTGGACTCTTGCAGTGTTTTACAGGACAACAATGAAATAAAGAATGCTAACGTTGTTTTGCTGACGATACCAACACTTCACTCTCTATGCTCCTAAATGTTATTTTTATTTTTCTAAAAATAGTTTTGTCTAAATACACTGGCACAGACTTTGTTGTACATTCCTGTTTTACTTCAATTGACATAAAAATACAAAGAAACATATAAATGGTCATGATTTTTTTCTTAAGAGTTACCAGATTTCACCTTGAGGGAACAAAAATGACATTTATAAAGTCAGGCTTTACACAGATGGTGTGAGTTCATTTCATTTAATAAATTTTACTTTTATGAATGACAACATTTTTTGGTTAGACATTAAATAAAACCAACAAAGTGCTTGAAAGATATTTCTATTAGCTGGGAATATAATAGCATTTAATAGCATTAGGGGAAAGATGTTGCTCATCAGTGCACATGTATTTGATCATCAAGCACATTTAAAAATATATTTTTGTTCGCAGTTAATAAAATGCTGTTTTCCTGCTACAAATCATATTATGGCAGTGAATTCGTTACTGTCCTCAGAGGTTTCCCTTCTCTCATGACTTATGTCTCAATTTTAGGTGGATGTGTGAAGTTCTTGTTAAAAACGAAGAATCAARATCAGATTAGTCCAAACCAGAATCATCGTCCTTCAAGTGACTTCTCAGAGACTCTCGTCAAAACTTTCTTCAGATGAGGATGATGAAACAGACGGGGTCTGAGAAAAAAAAACAAGGAAGATTTAGTGATTTAGCTAATCATAAATAAGTTAGACATCTGTCATGGATTKAGTAATTATTATCTGAAGTCCACAGCTGAAGTAAGCTACCTCAGTGTAGCCGCACACTAATATGAAAATACCTCAATGTCTCTGTGTTCCTTTTGTATGTTACTTATTGTTTGTGTTTGGGTAATTCATAAACCAATCTTTGATTTTTCAACAAAATGCAGACTGAGGGAAGATATTTTGCTGAACCAGGGAACCTTTGAGATTAATGGGATCTGACAGCATCTTAACATGTAGCTACAGTGTATATTTGCTATATTTCTACACACGTGTGCAAATAAAGAGACATTTCTCTGCTACGACAGAGATGTTTGCAAAAACATTTTTATAATATATGTTTAAAATATTTTTTAAAGTATTTTAGTGTTGATTAATGAGTTTTAGTTGCACATTATGGAGCCCGCGAGGGGACACGGGAATTTTTTTTTCTTTTGCGTTCCCATGCAATAGTATTGCGT